AGAGCTCTGAGATTCTTCAGCATGAAAGACTCTAATCTATATCAATATCAGTTGTTACTAATGGTATTAGGTTGCATAGTTTTGAATGTATGAACATTTTGCTAGGATTTATTCCTGTGAAAATTGCTTTCTCTCTCTCTCTCACATGCATCATTGTATTGTGATCTGCAAGTGGATTTAAGCCAGTCTTATTTTTTCACTTGCTAAATCAGAGCTCTAAAAATAACCTATCATTGACATAGACCTAAACCTGATGTCAGAAATCATGGTGGGGTAGAGGGCAGTCCTCAAGTAGACCGTGCAATGATAGTAAAGCAACTTGGCATCTCAAATGGTAGATGAGACAACTTACTGTATTTTTGTTTGGCTCATACTAAAATAGCCAGCTAATAAAGAAACACTAAGAAAATCAGGATTTCTTCATCAGAGAGCACAGGAGGTCAGATGACCTTGTGAAAAGGTGTTTCCATTCTTAAAAACATACATGGTTGGTTTGTACCGGGTCATATCTAGAGTGAGAGGAATCAACTGTTGCCCTGGCTAAATTCTAAAACTGAGTAATTACATTACTATATAGGTCTCCCTGAAGTTTCAGTGGGATGCAATATTCTTCATTTCCTGCCCTAAACTATTGAATCATATTGCTATTAATCACGTCACTATCCAGAAGAACAAATGTCATAAAGTTGAGACTTTATTCACACCACAAATGTACCAAGCCCCTGCTATCCTAAAGGCTGTAGCTCCCACTGTGGTAAAACAGAAGCAAGCAGGCACTATATAGCTGAAAGTAGATACTCTGTAACAGACTTTTAATATTATCAGTTCTGACACTGGTGAAGGAGTAGAACTATCCATCTGCATTGGCTCCATTCACCTCCCTTAGAAGATGCCTACCTGGGCAGCATAATGTAGAGGAGTGAAAGTGTATTATGAATCACAATCAGCCTTACTTAACTGAAAGAATAGAAGTCAATTTTTTAAGTGTATCCATCTAACTCTGAGTGGAACCTTGATGCAGTCAGGGTTCAAAAGGCCTGATCTGGTCACAGTAATACAACCAAAGACCTCATCTTCTCTAAAAACAACAAAACTACCACAAAGTGTCAGAGAAGTTTAATGCACCTTTTCCTCCTTCTAGATTCAAGACCTGAAATTGCTTTACCTGATTGTTATGGATGATGACTAATGCTAGGAATTAGTGAAAAGAGCAACTGTATATTTAACTATTAAACCCTTAAGTACTCATGTTTTTATAGAATCAGGGATATAACACATTAGAGTGATAGATGTATATGTAAATGATGTTTGCAGCTTCCACAAAGTTTTGTAAAACAGCAGGTATCTTGTGTGATAGCAAGCTTTAATCAGATGCATTTAGTGACTGAGTGACATATCAGGATACTTAACCTGAAAAACAACATAATCAGACCCTCAAGGTGTGCTGTTACTTGCTGTCTCCCACAATCACGTGCATCCCATTTGTGCACGTGTGTGTGTTTGTATACTAATATGAAGAAAGAATGGAGGCTAACCAGCACTGCCATGAATAGGGTACATGCTCTGTACTCGTTCTTCCCTGGTTTTGGGAACTACTTTATCCCTTATCCTTCTTTTTACTCATCTTATCTCACGGTACTGAGGAACAAAATCTATTGATTTGAAATGGGACAAACACATATGGTGCAATATTCTATTAATTACTGTAGTAAGTTATATACAGCCAAATCCTGGTCCCATGTAAGCAATTAGTGCATTGCAAACTTGATGGAATTAGGATTTGGACCACAATGATTAGAATGGTCCAGGTGATGTCATGGACTGGTGCTTCTTGAGTCTGGGGTGGGGCACCCGCAGAAGCCGGTGTCAGGGACGGGGCTGGGGAGCACGCGTGGAAGCCAGCGGCAGTGTCAACATCAGGGATAGCCCTGTCAGGGGGGCACATGCCCCCCCCCCCACTTGCCTACAGGTGATGTCTTTTTGAAAAACAAGAGACACAAACTGATGGACGCAGGAGGTTTCACAAAATTTGAGAGCAAGAAATGGAATTTGATGAGGACGTAACTGGAGAAAAGCGTAATGACAGCAGTAAGACTTGTCAGAATGAGAGAGATGGGGTTTAGTTAGGGACAAACGAACCATTAATAAGAAGCTGGGAGAGGGTTCATCAGAAAAGCAGTATGAAAGAAAGGGAACAAGAAAGGAAACCAAAGCATCCAAAGAAAAAGGGTAGGAAATGGCACTAAAAAACCCCAACTGTGAGCCAGCTCTTCTTCCAAAAGAAGTGAGTTTCTAGTTCTTTTTAAACGTAAGGAGTGTCTAAACAGTTTGAATTTGCTTCCTAAACCTAAATCTAAACTGATTTTTTCCCCCCTATAAGAAGTGCCTTCTGGTCTCCTATATTCTAATGAGTTAGTTCTGGTATAAAGTGAAGTTTAATGGGGATAGTCTTACAGAGTAGTGAGGTATCTCTATAACATGGTGTTGGCATCCAAGCCTTAAGCCAGATTATTTGAGTTTAGATGCATCAGTGGACCATACTAATCACATGCCTCAGGGATACTGAATAATTCATAGACTAAAATAAAATGTTCTAGTGAGGAGTAGGCAGATGCTTCTCCCTCCTCAATGCTCCCATTTGGAACTGGCTTCCCGATAGGGTTTTGGTAGTATAAGAGAGAAGTTATATTCTGAATCATGCTGATCCAGAAATTATGCAAGAGTCAAGAATTTGTTAAGGAGATCTTTTATTGGACCAACTATGTAGATGGGATAAAGTAAGATAATCTTTCAAATCCAAGACATTCTTTGTCCTTTAGGATGTCCACATTTTCAGAGGTGGTCCTTTGGACACAGATCTGAGGGATTACAACCCAAAATAAATAACATTGCGCATCAGACATTCCAAGAAAATATAATTGCAGTATAGAGGGGCACCAGGGACCAAATATGACCCACACCTCTTCTCGGATGCCGAAGACAGCAACGATAAAGGACCTGAGAAAATTCAGACAGAGAACGACGCAATTTCATTGAACCATGAGTTCCTGCAGGGCCTCAGCAAGGGACTCCCAGGAAAGAGATGGTAATGTTACCTACATCTTCTATCCAGTGCCTGGCTTCTCTTTTCTGACTGCCAAGAATTGTGCCTGTTGCAACACAAGTTGCTGCGGTACCGACTTAACGGCCACAGAGAGAGGCACTCTCTCTTCCTCTGGCTGCTGCATGGGCAAGAGCAGGGAGGGGATGTGCCACAACGTTGAGGACACTGGGGCTTAGCTGCCGGGCAACGGCAGCTATGAAGGGACGGCAGTGGGGATCTGGCTGTTGGGCTCTGACAGCTGGGAACAGCAAGGAGAAGAAACCTCGAGGACAGCAGCGGGACTCATCTGAAGAGACAGGGACTGTCCACGACGTGACACCAGGGAGCCAGTTAACAGCGAGTGAGAGTGACGGGGACAAGAGCAGACACCGCCGGGGAGGAGACACCAGAGGAGCCACAAAGCAGCTCCGAGGGGCTCGGTGTTGCCTGGCCGGGGTGGCGGGGGGCAGCGACTGCAGGGCCAAACGCTGCCCCCCTCGTCAGCACAGCCCCATCCCCGCGGCCCGGGCTGCCTCCCACAGGTGGACAATTTGCGGGGGCTCAGCAAAATCCTGCAGCGTCCGAGGGCGGTGAGGGTCCCCCTCCCGCAAGGTCATCGCCCCGCGCAGGTAGCGGGACCTAGGCGGACGGGCGGCCACGTGCGCCAGCCCCGCACCTGCGCGCGCGCCACCGTCCCGCGCCGTCCTCTGTGTCCCCGCGCGGAGCCATCCCCCCC